CTCCTCCTCCTCCTCCTCCTCCACTACCTACTACTATTATTGCTACTACAACGACGGCTACTACGGCTGCTACGACTACTGACGACAGCGACGACAACTACTACTCTTACCACAAGCAGTACTCGTTCTGGTGCCAGTTGTCGTCGTAGGAGCGGTAGTATCACTACTAGCTGCTGCCGCCGCCGCCACCAGCGCGACCATAATCACCACGCTACCGCTGCCAACACGACTGCAATTAGTACTTCTGTCATCAGCACTCCTACTCCTCATTTGTTGTAGTTCAACGTACTTTGTGCAGCGGCAGCACCACACGAAGGTTTGCAAGATAGTATGTACTTGGGTTATCTAGAGGCTTGAGATTCCAGCGCAAACTTCTCGTTGTGGACGTTTTGGACCGTGCTGTTAGCTTACAGTCAGCAGACATGCGGACACATCGTTCAACCATGGATTGCCTACACTTGGGCCGTCGCGTGCTTATGGGAAGGTCTACAACTGGGGCAGTTGGGTTGCGCTGGACGCTGCTATGCAGAAGGCCATGCTCACTTTGGAGCACAGGGTCAGTGCCAGCAAGATTTCTTCTCCTTTCGTTTCCCATCTGCTTGAAGTTTGACCCCGTGTCACGTTTGCGTATGCTTCAATCAAGACTTCAAGAACGATGGTTGCGAGGGTTCGGTTTTTGCTTCAGGGTTCACTCATAGAAGACATGTGATGCTCCTATCAAGGCAGAATGTCAGGAAAGTCATGTAGACGGGCTCCCTTGTGACAACCTCTTTCCATGTTCAGCCTGAGATTTGTTCCACCGTTCTGTTCGCACTAACTATGGGATGATGCACGGTGTGGCTGTCTCTCAAACTCCAATGCTAAAGTTCGAGCAGTGTCTTGTGGGCCTCGAAGTCCGAAGGCACGCAAAGTTTATTCTAAAGAGCTGCAGTGTCATTTTCAGAACTTTCACGTTGCTCTTCAGGTCACTCCCGCCAATTCTGCAATGTCAGCATTTCCCAACATAGAGCCGCCCCGCCCAATGTACAACAGTTCGCCTAGTTCTTAAGGCCCCCACTACAGGGGAAGTTTTGAATCTGGTTTCTAAATTTTATCGTCCTCATTCATCCTCGCCCATCCAGCTGTATCCTTCCGATAATGCCATACAAACTTCCTTTTCTATAGGACCCCCCCATACACCCCCCAAGCCTACTCGAGAATCTGGGAGCCCTAAATATACTCAGGAGCTTTCGCAAGCTGCCGGGGACCCAGAGCTTCTGTAAGCGGCCTACTCTGTGGGACCCAGGGGTTACAGTAGGCGGTTTAGGGTTTAGGGTCGAGGAACTTACTTACAAAGAGGGTTACAGTAGGGTTCTCATTGGCTGACGACGGGGTATCATATAATACCTTACCTCACGGCCTCTTTGAAAGTGTTGCGGCAGATGGAAGAAATCGTGCACCACTTCCCATGCCCCATATCTCGGCATTTAGAATATGCTTGCATCTTTGGTGCAGGATATCCTCCATCTACCGTGGGGTTCTGAAAGTATGCTTGTTCCTAGGAGTTACGGGACTTCAGGGGGATGAGGGAGCTGTTTTACCGACGGTAGGAGTATGCCTTTGCGTATTGTGTGGCTTTGTGAGGCCTTTGGACAGTCACTTGCAGGACAATGCCATAGAAAGTTGCCATCTGCTTAGAGGGTCATGGGGACTTAGTAAGTAGGTTTATAACCCCTATTAGCCATATATTAATAACCCCAATTATCCCCAGTATTAACCTAACTACGAAGTCTCCATGACCCTCCAAGTATGCTTTGGGCCGGTACTACTGGGTTCACTGCAACGCATGATTTGGTTAAGGTTCCAATGTAGATGCAGAGCTGATTCCGTGTTTCAAGCTTTCTTTACGCAGACCTAGCCTAAACCTTAGGTGGACCTCCCGCCCTGTAATAGTTACTATACAGGACAAGGATTATATTGGGGGCCTCATATTCCTACTATGCCGCTATTACAGGGTGAGGGGTCCTCCTAACCTAAATCCCTGGTTTTTAGTTGGCAGTGTTATTCCTGGTTGCATGGCCTTAGCAGCCTTGCGGGCAGAGCTGCCAACTGCACAAGAGGATTCGCTTGTTTGCCAGGTCGCGTCCTCATATCAGCGATAAGGGAAGAGAAGCACTGCCATTCTAGCGGTCGACATGCAGACTTTGACTTTGCAACTAATCGCTTCTTTTTCAATGTAAGAGAGAGGCCTCTGAAACAAAGGCTAACCCATGCGAGCCTACCCTTGCCATGTGGTTATGCCAAAGGTGTGCTGTGGTAGCCAATTATGATGATGACCACCTCAACTGGTGTTGAGACTTCTCAAGTGAGGCCAATCGCAGCGAATTGAGGGTGCCTTGGCGTGCAGAGGAGCAAGGCTTTCATGGATGATTACAGGGCCAGAGAGCTACGTCCTTGAGAACGACCATGGGTCATGGTCAGGGCGGCGAAGCCTGGTTTTGCACAAGCCGAGTGACGTTTTGAACAACCACGTCACGAGTGATCATATCTCACATGGCCTGAAAGGCCGAGAGAAAGAAGCAGCACCACCAATGGCTCCAAGATGTAGCATACAGGGGTGGTTCAGATTCAGGGTTTGTGGCGAGCTCATCTCACGAGCAAAGGTTGCCTTTAGCCTGTGCGACGTGCCCTACGTTGCGGACTTCAAGGGGATGGTCCTGCTAAATGAGGCAACTGGACGCAGAAGGCAAGACCTTGCAGACCAAAGCGTCCTTCGTGTGGTTTAACTACGGTTAGGGTTTAGGGTTTAGGGCTTGGGACAGACGCATACCATAACAAGCTAAATTGGGCTGTATTGAAACAGGGGTGGATCGCAATCCTTAATTACCGTTGCGCATCCACTGAAGATGCGCTGAAGGAATTCTGGATTTTTACGCATCATGTTCCCGCCTTACGCCAGAGGCTCTATGCA